TGGCTGGGGTGTCTAGCAGTGTAATCCTGACTTCAGTGGGTTCAGAAGGGTGTAACTCTGTGCTGTTATTAGCGACCAGAGGTTTATTCTGTCTCGATTCTTGGTCTTTCTAATTCTGAACCCATGTTACTTTTCAACAGTCACTCCTGTTTTCCAAATTTGTTGGTACAATTCTGGAAAACATCAAGTGGAGAAGATCTGCGTTTCTTCTAAAGGGGGAAGTCATTTATTATTTCAAATTTGTTTCACCACTAACCTAAAACAGATACCGGTTCTGTTTTAGTCCCATTACAAATCCTTTTTCTTCATATTAGAGAAGAAACTCGCTTTTTTTAACCAGAAGGAAAACTGTAAAACCCCAACAGTCTACAGCTGCCTGCTATTCCTCTCATCAAATTAAAGTTATAGGTACTAGAAAGGTAGGAAGATCTGCAGTAAATGTCTCTCAAACTCAGCACCGGGACCAGAAAAATATGCGTGGGAGCCAGCTTTCTTACTCAGTCTTGCCCAGCTGTCCTCTTTACTTCAGCCCCTGTCCCCCATTGCTTTCGTCCATGCAGGTCCCATGATCCTCAGCACAGACTTTTTGAGTGGTCCAAGAAGACCTCCCCTTTCCTTTTCACCAGCAGAAAAGCTGATGGGACCCAACTCTGTGTCTCCAAGTAATTCAGAATGTCTAAATAACCATTTCCACCTTGCAAGTGGACATTTATCTTATCCCAAAGAAACACAACATGTAGTTTCCACATGTAGATCTCTTCGATCTATGCTCTATCAATGCATGCAAGATGTGATACGCTCCCCCTTACGGCTCTCCCTGTCAAAACCTATAATAAAATGGAGCCCAATTCTGAGCACATATATTCAGAAGTAAGTCTCACTCACGTAGGTACGTGCAGGATTGCACCAGTCTGACTGTTTGATAAGGACTATTTGACTTTTTGTCATTGTTGATGATAAGATGGGACAACACTTTAGGCTTATATCTGTCTGTAAACAGTTTTCCGCTGACATTGCCATTCTCTGGACTGGGAAACAGGTCTGCATTTTGATTTGAATACAGTTATTGCAAAAGTACTTGAAGCCTACTGAAAAACAACAACCTTTGCTGCCCCTAATACTGTTTTTCTCTTACAAGATTACTCTTACACCTTTAAAAGTTCACAAGACATTTTGATTGCCTGTACCCCCACCACCACCACCAATACTGAACAGTATTATCCACCAAGGACTTCTGCAGAAAGTAATACAGAGCCACTACAAAATAATGATAAGCCAAATATATTTAAAGTGAAAGCTTTTAGCATGATTCCAATATCTCAATCTTTTTGCTGCGAATAATAGGATACTTTTTGCTCGGAAATCAGCACCGAGGATTCTGTAAGTTCTTCCTATCAAGCTATTTTAATGTGTTTTCATTTTGATCAATGTAGTGGAAAAACCTGAGAGCATTACTACACACACAGATATCATCAGGTCTCTTTGAGCAGTTGGTGTGACCTAGGAAGCACAGTTCATGAGCCACTAAGCCAATCACAACCCAACAAACATCCCAATATGGCAGCCCAGAAAGGGCTTGGTGTTTCTCCTGAGGTTGTCTGATATTATAAAACCAGAAAGGAGAGATTTGTCAAACCACAAGACATAGCTGGTGTACTGGCTTGGTAGATCATAAGACATGCAGGACCATTATAAAGTGACTGTTTCTAACAGGGGCATCCAAAATATTTGCACCTATACTGACCAGCATGCTAGTTGCACAAAATGTATTTAACCAATGTGATCATAATTCCACAGAAATTAGTACCAACACCGCCACCACCCATAATTAACAGGCAGGCTACGTCTGTGGCAAACAAAAACTCTGATCTCTACCTGTGGATAACTTGCTTTAAAATCGCCATATGCAATGACCCCCAGATTTGCTGGAATTTTGGCCAGTGAAGTATAATCAGTTTCCTCAGTTACCAAACTTCATTCCCCTTCAGGCTAGTCACTTCCAGTCTTCATATTTGGAATGTTTGCTTGATGGATTCACTTTAATTTTTTCCCTCCTCTCTCTATTACCCATCCACGTTTTGCCTCTCCCCCCCCCAACAATTTCATTCACTTCAATCTCTGCATTCTCAAACAACCCACCCTGCCCCTCCACACTTCTTAAAACATTCTTGAGCCTTTAAAACATATTCAGGGTTGTTTTAGTTAACCCCTTTTCCTCACAGAAAGACCTTCTCTGACTTTTGGAGAAATAAGTGTACGTTTTCCCCTACGCCCTCTAAAAATAAATGTCTCACTAGGCACACTTAACACCAAACGTATAAGGTATTATTTTGCTCAGTCTACACATTCCTGTTTTGTAGGATCAGGCAATAGATCCTTCTGAGTATGTTCCTTTGAAATCAATGGGACTACTTAAGAGCATTAAGGTAAAAGGGGGAAATGATCACAGCAAAAGAAAAAAATGACATATCACTTTACCATTAAATCATTTGTATGCAATTCAATTTTTTTTGAAGTAGAGAATCACCCACATAAACATTGCATTTACTTAAAAGAAACTAAGACACAAGTCAATGCTTACTTGTTGAGTCTCAAACTTTATTTAATAACAGAAGATACTGTAGGAATCTGATCATTCATGAAAATGAACTTCAAAGTGAAATATTAAAACCATTCCCCAGTTCTGGTAGAAATCACCCCCCCCCCATCTACTCCATAGCTCTTCTACAGGACTTTATGCATCTGTTTTTATTCTTTTTTAAACCAGTCAAATGGAGGGATGATACTACAATTTATGAATGGTAGATGTGCCATATCAAAGACATTAGAATCCTATTTCTTAAAAAAAAAATTCTATCCATCTTACAGGGCATTCTTTTTAATTTCCAGTTAGCGAGGTTCAACCAGTGAGTCAGTCTTGATATTTATTTTATTTTATTAAATAAGCCCAGTGTGATTTTTTTAAAAATCTCTGAAAAGGACTCAGATTCATTTTCACAGCGTTTTATTTTTTAAAAATGACAACCTTCACAGGCATGGTAGGGCAGAAAGGGTGCCTCTGACAACCCACATGTTACTGAGACTCTGCTAATCATATTTAATTAACTAGTTCCTTCACTGTGCATAGGAAAAAAATAACAGAAGAATGAAGTCCTGCAACCAGAACGCGCACACTTCAAAATACAACCCTACACAATCTTGTACTTTAATCTACAAGAGAATGGGAAAGATCTACCATGAACCACAGGCTATGCTTTCTTCTTCTAACAACTTGCCAAAAAAGATTCCACTTAGTCTCCCCTGCTATCACAAGCAAGAAAATGAACCCCTCCAAAATTTCCATTGGAAAATGATTAAAGTTAACTTCATCACACATCCCTGAGAACATGGTTAAAAAAATGTATCTTCAGTGAATCTACAAATAAAATCCTTGGTATGCATCTAGTGATGTCACCTCAATGCTTTTAAGGAAGACTTTGAAAAACTCCCAACATGGCCTCCGTGACGATAAAGAAGACTGAAGTTGCAGACACATGGAGCAGATCAGACTGATAAAGAGTTCTAGGAATATGTTTGGTTATCTTGATTGCTCCTAAAAGGTGTTATGCGAAGTCTCCTAGCAGGTATTATCTCTCTAGTTTATAGATTTAACCACAATATGCTTGAATTACACACACACACACACACACACACACAGTTTAAGTGATTAATCAGTTTCTTAAGGAAAATCTAAACTTGGTAATCTCTGAAAAATCGACTACGTCCAACACAATTGCTGCTAACAAAAATGGTTCTGTCCCTCTTTCCCGCCCCCAGCCACCAATCCCCTCCCCCTCTCCCCCAGTATTTATTATGCTTTGTTTCATTCTGGAATTACCTTCCCAACAATTTTTTTTTCTTCCAATAGTCACTGAAAGCCTCTGCTACTATTTCTCCAAAGCCCTGTTGCAAACCCTATTGATCAAACATTACATAAGACCTCTCTGCCTGTTGCTACAAATAAAAAGAAATTATCCAATAGATTCTGGGATCTTTCCAATCCATAGAGGGAGCTGCAGGAAGCCATTCATAAAAAAATATTCTAGCCTCCATCAGCATATTTGGCTTTAAAAGTTTGAAAGTCCAAGAGACCCAACACACAAGGGAAGGAGTGGTTGTGTTTATCACACAAACATACAAATAATATATCTAGCTACAGCAAATAGTAACTCCATTTTACCACAGTTTTTTAAACATCTATCTACAAAACAACAGGGGGGGAAGGCCATGTTCACACTACATTCTGATAGCACAGTGTCTTGTGAATTTTGTGTCCAGTTTCTGGATTTCTCATGAATGAAGAGTTATTGTAACTTTTCTGTAAAGGATGGTGCTACATCATGCCTACCCAAAACTGCCAAACAGAATCTAGGCAACCCAAATTTTGAACAAAGACCAAGAAGACATGAAATATGGAAACACTTCTTGAAAGCATGGTGGGATAAACTCTCCACAAAAATGCATAGTTTTAAAATATTCCCTACAGCAGCAGTAACAAATGAAAAACCAATACATTCTTTTCTACTTCATGAATCTGGACTAGAAGTTTCCTTCTCAGTGCATTTTAGAAAGAAAATTAAAACACAACAAAGATAAGGATTTTTTTAAGCCTTCTCACACACCAAGGCTTCTTCAAGTAGACTTGGTCGTATAGGGAATGGCACCACACTACATACGGCATACAACCTCCTGCCACCAAATTCTCACTAGCTAAACCACTGAACACTACTAATTCTTATGTTATAACTTCCAAAGTAACTTTACAGAGAAATGTACAAGAAGGCCATTAGAGATGATTCCAAGAGCTACCTTCTGTGGAAAACTTCAAATATACTCTAGACCGAGACCTGCCTGCCCACATTCGTGACTTTAAAAAACAAAAAAAACAAAAAAGACAACCTTTTTTTCAGCCATTTCTCTTCACCATGGACAAACTTAAAGAAATTAAACCACTGGATTACCTTTGCTTTTTAGGTACTGAATGTTCAATCTCTAGATGTTTTCCAAGCAGCTCCACTTTGCCTAAAAACACAAGTGTCTTCTTTTAAAAAAAAGTAGTAAAAGAATCTGGACACCATTCTCATATACAAATTAACTTCTGCTTAAACGCCTCTCATTTTAATTCATGTTTATTAGATTTCAGATGGAATTCACCAATAAATCACACTGCTTATTTATTTATTTTTTTCTTTTCCTTTTTGTAATGTTTTTTCATAAACAATGGAAGACACCAAGCCTTTTTGAGGGCCATTCTTTTTAGCAGATTTAGCTGATTTCATATTTGGGTACTACAAGATGGGGGTACAACAGAAGGAAGACAAAAAGAAGAATTTTGAGGCCTCGTCTTTCTGGTTTCATTCCACCGCCCCACCCCCAACTTGCTTGCTTTTCAGTGTATTCCTGTTTGGTTTTTACAGAAAATCAATGCAGACTCTTCAGTTGAGAAGAAGGACTGTGACACTAGGAAAAGAGAAGAATCTAATTTTGGTTGAGTTCATTTTCAGTAAGGGGCCAAGGAGGTTTGTTCTCAGCAAAAGTCAATTTCAGCTTTGCTGTTGAGTTTCCTCTCTCTCTGGGCAGCATGGCGACATCCGCGCAAATTATGCACATCACATGCCCCAAGGGGAAAAAAAAAACAGTTTAAAATCAAAATGGCCAAAGTCCAAGATCTCCTTCCTTCCTGTCCAGATCTCTCTTTTAGAGCCCCTTTTGCCATCTCCCCCAAACACCAGACACTCTCAAAGCCCCCCTCCTCCCAATACAGCATTTTGGTTGTATGGAAAATCCTGAATGGCCTTACAAGATGGGCAAGGGGGGTTGTGAGAAGGGATTATTAGACCCTGGGTAAATGAGGGTCACTTTTCCCCCCTCTGCCATCTCTGGATTCATTTCTTGGGGGGGTTCAAGCTGAAGGAGCTTGCTAAGAGGGCAGAAGAGACTTTCTGGCCTTCCTTTTTCCCCAATGTTTATATTGCTTGGAGAAGATTTACCAATTTCTTTTAACAAGGAGGGACTTACATAATATATAGGGACCAAAAATAAGAGTCAAACAAGGGCCATTAGGACGAATTCTTGATAGGATAGAGTATCATGGATCTTTCAAAAATAAATATATGTGTAGGAAGGGCCCTCTGCAAACCGAATGCAAACAGATGGGAAATCTTAGGCCTTGCGTGTTATTTATTAATTTGGCGTGGAGGACACACACATCTACAGATCTAGATTCCAGGTCCAGGATCTGTGGCAGAACGAGGGGGGGGTGGAGGAAAATCAAGTGGGGGGCTTCTCAGTTGTGTAGGGTGGGAGTCGGAAACGAAAGTGAACTTTCATTGATGACAGAGAAAGAAACAGGGCGGAAGAAGCAGGCACGAGTGTAACTGAACGTCGCATCTTTACAAACCACGTTCTTTGCAAAATATATATACGGGTGGGGTGTCTTTTTTCCAATTGAATGTGTTTTGGAGGGGGTGCGTTTTTTCTTGTTGTTGTTTTTTTCCTGCAAAAATCCCACGGCTGTAAGAGAAGGGCTGGGTTGTGTGAGAGAGGTGGAGAGAGAGAAAGAGATCCATTTGGCTTACCCGAAAAAGTTTCGATGGCTTTCATGGCCCATTGGTCATCAGGGCAATCGACAAAGGCGTAGCCAGATTTCACCAAGAACTGGCCACTGAAGGAGATTTTGTGATCGTTGAAGACTTTCTCCAGATCCGCCGGAGTCACGTTCTCGTTGAGGTTTCCAATGTACAGCTTGTTCATGGCTGATGCGTTCTGCACAAAATGTTGGGTAGGACCGAAAGGGAGGGAGGTGGGAGGGGAAAAAATATATCTCACGCACACCGGGTGGGAAAGGAGGGTGGTGATGATGGGGAGGGGGGGAGTGCGGAAACTTTGGAAATAGCCCCCTTTTGTATCTTTTTTAAAAAAATTCCTCCCACTACCCTCTTACCAAAAAAAAAAAAAAAAGTTTCTTATTCAGTCTTGGTGGCCCGGCAAGTAGGAAAAGCCAGTTATTTGGGGTTGTGGGAAGGAAAGGAGGGGGGAGAATTTGAGAGGAAAGAAAAAGGGGGGGAGAAAATGTTCCCTGTTTGGCAGAGTCAGTAGGGTGGAGGGGATGCAACTTGGAATGGCTGGCTTGGGGAAAAAAATGGCTCTCTTTTTTTTTTCCAGCGACCCCCCCCCCTCCTCCTTTTGAGTCGCAACTCATGTGTCACACACATACACACACACCCAGGACGTCTCCGAGGCTGCCTTCTAGCCCCGCCCCTAAATAAAATCGACCTGGAAAAATGAGTGAAAATGTTTGCAAGAGGAAACCACGTGGTGGAGCCCCAAAAGGACCACCCCTCCAAGGGGAGGGGCACACACACGCTCTCATGTGCAGGGGGAAGGCAGCCTGGGTTGCTGTTTTTGAAAACTGCAACTACTATTTTATTTACGTTTTTCCCTTGCTTCCGGGGGGTGGGGGTGGGGGTGGACACCACTTTGCAATCCGGTGCATCAGCAGCATAGTTGCAGTTCTGGTTTTCCGTGCACACTGATTCCTGAAACTAGTACGCTACACACCCAACCACCACCGTCTCCAATCCCCTCCTCCTTCCCACCCCTCCCCCCATGAGCTCCTTAGAGTTTGAATGAGATTTTTCTGGGGGTAAACTTAATCAAAAGGGACCTTGGGGGGGGAGAGAAAGGAGCAAGTCGGTTGTGTGCTTGTTGAGACCGAAAGTTTTGCACTTTACTCCATTTGCAGAATGGGGGGGGGGAGGATCGTGTAATATGGAAACGTGAGGTGGGTGGGATAAAAGGCGAGGAATTATTGCAATGTAATAGGGGAGTGGGTGGCAGGGAGGGGGGCTTGAGGATGGACGAGAGCCATATTGGATCTGCTTGGTTTGCGCAGTTATGAAGACGTCGGAGGGAATCTCCCAAAACTAAGAATATTTGTGATACCTAGGCGCGCGCGCACCATCTACTTTAAATCTGTTTCCAATGGAACAGTTCTTCCTGCAAGCCACTGCGCTTCCCAGCAAAGAAACCACCAGAAAAGTGTGAAGGCTTTTTTAAAACAGTCATTTTGCGGTGCGCTGAAGAATGGGAGTGCAATGCAAATACATGGGGGGGGGGGGCCGGGGGGGGGGGGTTCATCC